GAATTCTGGATCAGCAGTTGGGTTTGATTTTTGTCTGATTTTTGGTATTTCTGCCCCAAAAACACAATGCGCGGGCTGTAGTTCCCCCGTAAGATCTGTATTTGTATCGCAGCTTTTGTTCTTCTGGATATTTCTTCTGCAAAGTTCCGGCTTTGTAACTGGAGTCTCTTTCATCCTGTGCTGCACGACTCCATGCCTGAGCTCCCTTTTTCATGTTCGGAGAACGCCCCCACCCCCCCACTGGCGCGGTCCGATGCAACCTATTCTCGGATATATTATTAGGTTTCAGTTGAGGTTTAGCAGAGCCGGCAAAGGAAAGAAGAAAAAAAAAAAAGCCATTTGTGTCGGAACGTTTGATAGACCTGAAAATGCTTCCTGAAAGCGAAAACAAAATTCATCAAATTCTATCCATTGTTCTACAAACAAACAGGAGATCCGAATATCTGCCGCCGCCCCGCTATGGAGGGCCGTGCACAGTGCTGCCGGGGACATGGGAGGAGGGGCCAGACCAGTGACCTACTCGGTGTGCTGCTTCTCCTTCATTGTCCAATCACAGGCTGGGATGGGTCCTGGACCAAGCTGTATTACTCAGCTGCACCATAGTCTGCAGGGATGTCTGGCACCTGCCTGTGCTTTCTGGATCACATGACTTGCTGAACAGAACTGAATAATAATAATAATAATAATAATAATAAAACTAATACAATGATATTTATGATTATTAATAATAATATTTTTAAATGGTTTTTATTGGTGCCTGGGGCTTCCTGTCCCAGTGACAACCGTCTACTCAATTTATTATAAGGGTGTCACAGGGAACTCTGCTTCCTCTCTGCCCCTTCTGCACCTTTTTATGAAGCACAATTCATACCGGGGCGTAGTGGGAATGTGTGTAGCACTTGCGCGCGTTCCTGAACATTTGCAGGACTTTGTTGCATTTGGCAAGTCCCCATCGATCCCGCGATGTGTGCCAAAACGTGGAAAAGTAGTAAATGCCGCAATTTTATTTTCCCACGCATTTTTCCTTTTTTTTCCCCTCCTACGCGTTGCTGCACGCTCTCACCTGTGCTTGCCCTTCCGCATTTGGGGTGCCATTTACCTTTTTTATATTGGCAATGCGAGCACGTTCCGTGTTTTTGCATGTGTCGTGAATGCGCAGCAAAGTGCGCACGTTTGCCCATTCGAGATACTCCTTGGTGTGAACGCTGCCCTTAGAAGTGAATCGTTTCTGTGTGGACTTCAGAACACCTTCCCCCTATGTTGCACAGAAGAGGGGGAGGTGTTCTGCAATCTTGTCTTAGGGAGACAACGCTGCTCCTCCCATAGTACAGTTCGTGTGCGTTGTCACCCTAGGAAGGGGAAGTGTTATTGGCAGGATCACCCGGAAAACAAAGCCTGAAAATAAAAGCCGCCACCACACCTAAGGACCGGCGTGCTGCAGGTTTAGATGCACTTGAAAGCTGGACGCAGCCAATTGGAGAGCATTGTTAGGAGGCCAGTACAACCCATATAAGATCTCTTGGTTTTCAAAAAGGAGGTTTTGGGAGTTTTTAATTGCGTGTCGGCGCTGCAATGTAATTAAAAACGCCCAGAAACGCGCTGATTAGTTCCATTCAAAGCTGTATGGAAACCGCACTGATCAGTGCAGGGGGCAGTTTGGGCGGGGGAGGGGGTGGGGGG